CTCCCTCTTGAGCCTTTCTCCCACCCACCCCCATCCCACCCCTCTAGGTCATCACAGAGCACCGACAGAATAGGGTTTCCTAACATCATGTTCCTCCTCACCCCAAGATGCTCCTGTTGCAATGCACCCCCTCTTGGAACTGCACCCCCACGCCCCGTAGCCCAGGTCACAACGTGGGACACACCTGTTCTTGCTCAGCCCTCTCAGCACGTCTACCGGGCCCGCAGTCCTGGTGACCCGATCTCCTGAACTTTTCCTGAACCTGTGTCTCCCCACCCCTCGGCCCACCCTCCTGGGGCCCCATCCACACTCCCCGTCGGCCTCCCAGCCCCAGCCATGCTGTGCGTAAGTCCATTCTCTGTACTGAAGCAGCAGTGACCTGGCTTACTTTCTTACTCTTTGATGTTAGGTCTATGATATTTCAAACAAATTACAGAACAACCCAGCGAATGTCCATCACCCAACTTTAACCCTAACTTTTGATCATCATTCAATCCTATATTTTTTAAAGTAAATGAAGCATCTGCCTCTCCTAGTCTCATTCCTCCCAGAAGTCAGCTGCGTTGGTCCTGAATGTGCACTCTGTCTTGCCTGGACCTGATTTTATCCACTTGGCACGTGTCTGACTCACATAGCGCGTGCAGGCGCTCAACCTGTGTACCAGCGTTGTCATCTGTTTGGTTCCACGCCTCAATCTGTGGGCTCACCATTATGCTTCTGTGCCATCGGACCTTCTCACTGCTAGAGGGTTTTCATGACTTTTTTTTTTTTTGGTTTGGTTTTTGTTTTTGGCCATGTCACATGATTTGCAGGATCTTAGTTCTCCAGCCAGGGATGAAACCAGTGCCCTGGGCAATGAAAGCCTAGAGTCCTCACCACTGGAAGGCCAGGGAATTCCCTTCGCTGCTGTTTATAGCACATGGTGGATAGTAGGAATGTGCCCTGGCTCCCAACTGCACAAAAATTAAAACAGACACCTCAGCCAATTCAAAGGCCCTGCACAACCCAGCCCCTGGGGACCTCTAAGGCCTCATATTCTCACTACACTCAATTTTACTGATGCCCCAAGCCTACCAGGTATCTGGAACAATCTGTCTCCCTTCCTTGTCGCTGCTACTCCTCCCACCTTAGCTGGCTAATTCCTGCTCACGCCTGAAGTCCTGCCTGAAGTGACCCATCCGGGAGGTCTCTGACCCCCCCTGACATCAGTGTCCCCACCCCATGCCGTGTGCTGTGTCCCACTGGCCTGACTCAGCCGACTTGGTGAATAAGTAAAAGCATAACGCGGTGATGCGTCTTCATCCATGCTTCCTGCTGGGACTCTGTCCTAAGTGAGTTGGTACTGAAGTGTAATGCACATACACTAAAACTCACTCTTCACTCATAGAAGTGTTCTATGCCTCTCACTAATCAAGGTGTAGGATAATTCCATCATCCTTGCCAAATCCTCCCGTGCCCCTCTGTGGCCAGCTCCAACCCTTGACTCCCAGCAACACTGATCTGGAGACTTCCCTGGCGATCCAGTGGTTAAGACTCTTTGCCTCCACTGCAGGGGGCCCCAGGTTCGATCCCTGGTCAGGGAACTAAAATCCCACATACCACAACACACAGTGTGGCCAAAAATAAATAAATGTCTTTAAAAAATAATAATCTCAGGTGACTTGGCATAAACCAAACTCCCAGTCATCTTAAAAAAAGAAAAAAGAAAAAAACACTGATCTGTTTTCTGTCCCTTTAATTTTACCTTCTCCGGAATGTCATCTGAATGGCATTGCACAAGATGTAGCTGTTGTCTCTCTCACCAGCATTGCAGTTGTGTGCCAGGAACTGTAGAAGAAACAGCAATAGATCTTAAGGAGATTCACGCTGCATTCAGAGGACCTTTATGTAGACAGATATCTTCCAGTACAACTCAGTAACTACTGTATTTTTTAACATCAGATTCGGATTTACTTAGTGCTCTGTGGCAAGTTCGTTCCTCATTACTACAACCCTGCCTGTATTTTTCAGATGAGGAAACCAAGATGTTCGAAGAACTTAAGAATCATATTCAAGTTGGCATCATGAGTTAGGAGAGGCAACCCCCATCCCAGGTTCAGTACCTTAGTGCCAAGCCCAGGGCTCCTCCATTTTTTTTGTTTTTTTTTGGTTTTTTTGCCTTGCTTAAATTATCTTTTAATTACAGAGAAGAGCACAAAATCTTGTTCTTTCAGAAAGTATCGTTTTCATCAGAGAGCTCAATTTGCTAATTTTTGGAAAAGAAAAGCAATATTTCTCCTTGTCTCTTGACTGTGTTTCTTGTTCTGTCAAGATAGTGAGTCATTGGGCACCCGTCCTCCTGCCACTGAGGGGCCCCCCACCCCCAGCCCCCTCACCAGGGGGTGATGGGAACTGCCTGATGGATCTGGTTTTGTGGTGCTGACCGAAAGTAGCTTTCTAGTCAAGCAAATGACTTTGCAGTGTGATGTTCTGAGCATATGGATTCGTGATGGGTCCAGGGGTCTGTTTTCTGTCGCCTCTTGTCCCTTTCACTCCAAAAAAACGCGGTCCAAATTCTGCTCTTGGCAACCAGAGACCGTAGTGGCATGGTGTGTGTGTGCCGGTGAGCAGTTTAGACAGAGACTAAATTGTGTATAGCAGTTTAGACATAGACTTGGGACAGAGGTGCAGATACCAGCCCAGTAAATTCCAAGGCCCAGTGGGTTTTGACCTTGGTTGGGGAGGGGCGTGCCCTTGTCTGCAGTCATGGTGGGGAGCACAGAGGGACACCAGTGACGTGCAGCGCACACCTCTGGTCAGTTCTTCCAGGGGGTTTTCCTGGCAAAAAATGCAGGATGGCGAGTGGCTTTACTGAGGACACCTGAAAGAAAGAAACATGCCTCCACCCAGCTCTCCTGGGGACCCTCCGGCGCCCGAAAGGAAACAAGGGGCCAGTGCTTGGGAGGCGGCACCGGGCGCCGTGTTCTCCAGGCAGCCATTGTTCTGACCTTGCTGTGGGTTAAAGGACACCAACCTGAGAAGAAATCTGTTTATCATGTGGGGAATTCATGCCATCCTTGACAGTGTACAGTGAGCAAGATGGATGATCTGCCAAATTGGTCCCTCGCTTGGGTGAATCAGGGCAAATTTACAGTACAATTCCTCTGCTGCTTCAGATACAAAAATAACATTTGCCGGGTTTTATATCTAGTTGTACGACGACCTGGAGGTGAGCAGAGAGAAGAAATCCGATTTGTAGGATTCAGATCGCCTTCAAGATTTATATGGACCGTTTCTGCCGTTTACCTCTGCCTCTCTCATGTCTTTCACAAGCCAGTGTTTGTTTTTTTTATTTTTAACCTGATTTTCCATGTTGAGCACACAGCTTTATGTGATGGTAGAACTCTATACTGGTTGAGGACAATAGATGGGTTTATTGCAGTTGTTTTATTTGGGATTTTATCTTTCTAGGTATTTTTACAAAATATCTCTTGTACTTGGAATACACTTTCCATCCTCTTGAATTCAGAATAGGTTGTTATACTGGATATCGTATGTCCAGTGAAGGACACTCCAGGTATATGATCTGTTGAAATTCAGTTATTCCAGGATTTTCCCCCATGATCCAGTGATTGAGACTTCACCTCCCAATGTGGTGGGCGGGGGGTGAGGCAGGGGTGGCTGGCCGGGTGAGATGCAGGTTTGGTCATTGGTTGGGGAGCTCGGATCCCACATGCCCTGAAAAAAAACCCAAAACATAAAGCAGAAACAATATTTTGACAAATTCAATAAAGACTTTTTTTTTAATTGTCCACTTAAAAAAAATAAAATCTTTTTTAAAAAAAAAGGAATTCAGCTACTCCTCGGTGTTACATTTTCTTTAGTCGGTCCCGGGTATTTGGGGGCCAACATGTGCTGGTGTTCACTGCATGGCCCGGCCTCACACGCTGTTGTCTCTGGAGCCGCGGAGCCCACGTGACAGTGCCTGGCCTGGCCCCTCACCCGTGGTGCCGTGGGGTCTCACCATGTGCCCATGCCTGGTAGGGGGAGAAACTGCACCCAGACTCCAAGCCGAAGGCAGCTTTTACCCCGTGGGTAGGGCCTCAGTGCTCGGTCACTGTGCATCTTCTCTATGTTTGGAAATGAGGAACTGCAGAAGCCTTTATTCCTGGCACCCCAAACCGGAGTGGGCGTCAGGTTTTACAGGTTCTGCTAACAGAGGCCAGAAGGGACCCCTCGCCAACAGAGCACGGTGCCCTCCCCCCACCAGGCACCTCCAACAAGACAGCCCCTTCTGAAGAAAGGAGAGCATGGGGACCTGACTACCCACACTGGCCCTGTCTCTTCTGGTCTTAGTGACCACCTGGTGTAGACAGACGAGAGCTGGGCTTTCAGAATCCCATCCTGGGGTCTGACAGAGAGCGGGTGGGTGCTCCTCTTCCTTTGGTTCTCTCTGTGGTCACTGTGGAGCCCTCCGGGGTCATCGTAAGAACCGACCTGGGGTCCCCGCTCAGCCGTAGGTCCCTGGGGGCCTGCAGCCAAGGCCTTAGGTTTCTTCTTCAAGGGTCTTCATCACTGTAGTGACCACACATTGCAGACAACCCTCAATTAAAATATGTCCATTCACTTTGTGCTGGAAATTATGGATAAAATGAATACACAAATTATAATATACTCAAGATGCTTCTGAATTATAGAATTAAGGGGTTCTGTGGGAAGGAAGTCATGACAGTGATTAATAGGGCACACTTTTTTTAATAGAATGCCCTTTATTGAGTCTTCAGAAACATTCTGTTTAAACCCCTGCTTTTACTTCTTTCATTGTTATTATTTTTATTTTTTTAATACAGAAAGAAAATAAAAGGTTAATTCTCGGTCACAGGTCATTTGGATCCATAGACTGCCGTACTGTCTCCTTTTTAAACAGACGTCTACTTAATAATTCCTAGATAAGGGAAGGAGGTGCACATAGGGAAAGACCGCCATTCTCAGCCTCGGGTTTCCATGTGCTCTCATTCCAGAAAGCACTCCAAAGACCTCTGCCAGCTGCAGCCCTGCACCCGAGTCACCCATGAGCTCCAGCGAGTCAGTGAAGAGTCTGACGGAACTGGTCCAGCAGCCCTGCCCCCCCATCGAAACGAGTAAGGATGGCAAACCGCCAGAACCCAGTGATCCGCCCGCCTCAGACTCCCAGCCTGCCACCCCACTGCCTCTCTCTGGACACTCAGCGCTCAGCATTCAAGAGCTGGTGGCCATGTCTCCAGAGCTGGACACCTACGGCATCACCAAGAGGGTCAAGGAGGTGTTGACCGACAACAACCTCGGTAAGTTCCCTCCCCGGCTGCTAAGTCAGGAGGCGGCAGGCCGTTTCCTGTTGGGGGATCTCAGGAGGAGTGGGTGGAAGGGGCCTCAGGCTGGGCCAGCCAAAGGGCTTAAATGTTCCCAGGCTATCTACGGGAACCTAAAATGTCCTACAGTTGTGAGCAGCAAGGATTCCTAAGCGTGTTAGAAGTCTAAGGTCAGCCCCAGCCCACCCGTGCACCCCCACTGGGACCTCTTGGAAGACAGGCATGCCGGCCAGAGTCTGACCACCAGTTGCCCAAAGGAGCTCTAAATCCTGGGGGGTGAGGGGATGCAGAGTAAGGGCGAGTCAGCATGAGCCCAGCAGCTTCTGGTTGGTGTCTCTGACCCAAAGTGGGGACCAAATTAGCAAATTACAGATGAAGCAGGCAGCTTGGTCAAGACCCCGGCATCCTCTTAACATTTGACCTGGGATCTTGGCGTGTTCATGTTCATGTGTTAGTCTCTCAAAGTCATAGCAGAATGTGTGTGTGTGTGCATTTTGAAGGGTGAGGGTTAGTAGCTTTCATCCTGCTCTCAAATGTATCTGTGACTCCCAAAATGACTGAGAGCCACTGCTATGAAACCTCTAAAAGTAATACACATAATTTTCTGAAAATAATCACTTGATTCCCCCCAACACCCGCCTCCCACTACAACGGGGTGGATCAAGCAAATAATAACTAGTTGTTCATATATGTCACTTTCCTGAACATAACAAGCTCCTTGGAATGAAATGAGATTGACTTGCCAGATTAGAATTAAGTAAAATTTATTTAAAACAACCACAGTAACAACAACAAATGGTAAGGGGGCTTCCCTGGTGGCCCAGTGGTTAAGAATCTGCCTTTTGGTGCAGGAGACTTGAGTTCAATTTCTCGTCAGGGAACTAAGATCCCACACGTGCCGCAACGAAGACCCAGAGCAGCCAAACTTTTTTTTAATCTTTTAATAAAGAAAATTTTTTTTTAATGGTAAGGACCTGGGATGTTTATAGGCTAAACTGAGAGTTTGAAAAGCAGAAAAACCTCAGATTTCCAAAATCAGTAAATGTTGGGGTTGGTAAAAATGTTAGGCTCAGTTAAAATGACTGACATCAAAAAAACTTATTTTCTCAAATCCAAAACTTTGCATGCAGTAAACTTTTACTTGGAGCCCCACTTCTTACAAGGCAGTGCTCTTTTAGCTACCCTGTGAGCGCGGTCGGGGGTGTTCCCCTCTCACAGATGGAGGCTGTAAGCTGAAGGGGGAATAAGCCAATCATCAGGGTCACCCTCAGGCTTCCCAGGTGCCTCAGTGGTGAAGAGTCCGCCTGCCAAGGCAGGAGACCTGGGTTCGATCCCTGGGTCAGGAAGATCCCCTGGAAAAGGAAATGGCAACCCACTCCAGTACTCTTGCCTGGAAAATCCCATGGACAGAGGAGCCTGGCGGACTACAGTCTGTGGGATCACAGAGTCGGACACGAGTGAGCACGCACGCTGGGTCACCCCACACTGAGGGGCAGAGCCAGTGTCGTGGTCCGGAGGCTTTATGGTACCAGACACCAGCCTCTGATCCCAGTCTCCACGTCCACTCAAAGTCCGGTGCCTTTCAGTCCTCCCGTCAGGTCCTTCCAGTTGTGCCTGGTCCTCGTTTGTGCCTTTCAAAGTGCTGGCCCCTCTTCACCTGCAACTGAATGGCTCTCAGAGAAGAGAAATCTTCCTTTCAAGCCTCTGATGAACACTGCAGACCTAACGCCACTGTGCTCTCCAGAGCGCAGTACCCTCTGATCAGCCCAGGGAGCAGGCTACTTGAACTACAGGGACAGACTTCAGAGCTGGAAATGGCCTGCTTGTCAGGAAAATAAAGCTGAGGAGCTATTTCTCCTTCTCTTTCCTGCTGTGACCTTGGGTCAAGTGGCCTGTTTTCTCAGCAAGACCCGATAACCTTGCTAATCGTGAAAGGAGCCGGTGCAGACGGCCCGGTTTGAGGCTCTGAAAGAGAGGTCACCCCATGAGCTACTTAACCTCCTGAGCTCCAGTTTGGGATTAGCCACCTCTGATAGACGCAGCAGGTGTTGTGCGGGCCTTGGTTCATCCAAAACCCAAAAACTCTTTCTTAGAGAAACCTTGTGCGTAAGCAGAATGCAAGAGGAATACTGACTCCATCACCCGTGGAGGTTGTTGGCAAGTCTGGTTGAGGAAGCGCTTCTAAGAAGCGCTTGCTCAGAACTTGCTCAGTGGCCCAGTGGTTAAGACTCAGAGTTCCCAGTGCAGGGACATGTGTTAGATGCCTTGTTGGGGATCTAAGCTCCTGCATGCCACATAGCTTGGCCAAAAAAAAAAACCCTGCTTTTGCTAAACCCGGAACTGATAAGATTCTGGGTCTCGAACCCCCGTTTCTGATTTCACTCTGACACCTACTTGTCCTGCCAGCTTCCTGAGTCTCAGCAATGACACCTCTCCTGGTTCTGTTCTTTCTCCAGGTCAGCGCTTATTTGGGGAGACCATCCTGGGGCTCACCCAAGGCTCCGTCTCTGACCTCCTTGCTCGCCCCAAGCCCTGGCACAAGCTTAGTCTGAAGGGACGGGAGCCCTTTGTCCGGATGCAGCTGTGGCTGAATGACCCCAACAACGTGGAGAAGCTGATGGACATGAAACGGATGGAAAAGAAAGGTAACTCCCTGCCCCAGCCCCAGCCCATTGCTTTCTCATTTATAAACCCACTGTTGCTGTTAAAGCTTTCACACCGAGCTGATGAGGGACACTGATCCATGACCAAGGGGCTGTAAGGCAGGGTGAAGGATTTCTTGACAGTCATCTGCCGATGAGTACCTAAAAGGACTGGAGAGATTTGTGGTTTTTTCTGCCTCAACACCTGAACCCAAAGACATTTAGCACCAGAGGGTACTTTGATAATTCCTCAGTCGCCCTGGCGGCCAGTGTAGCTTTCTCTTCTTCGGGAGAGTAACGCCACTTGGTGTTGGCTCTTTTGTTTTGCTGGGTGGGTGGGGTATTGCAACATTTCATTGCACATGCACCATCATGGCAGGGCTTCCACATATTATCCTATCGAAGAGATCATTTAAAAATGCATTTGTAGGGCTTCCCTCGTGGCTCAGTGGTAAAGAATCCACCTACCAATACTGGAGACAAGCATTTGATCTCCAATCTGGGACGATCCCACGTGCAATGGAGCAGCTAAGCCCTTGTGCCCCAACTACTGAGCCTGCACTCTAAGCCTGGGAGCCACAGCTACTGAAACCCATGTGCCCTAGAGCCTCTGCCCTGAAACAAGAGAAGCCACCACAGTGGGAAGCCCGTGCACCTGGAGAGTAGCCCCCACTCACTGAAACTAGAGAAAGACCCCACAGCAGAAACAAAGACCCAGCATCGCCAACAATAAATAAATAAAATTATTAAAAAAAAAAAAAAGATTAGCAAAAAGTATCCTATGAGAACCATTTGGCGTTATGAAGTTTACAGTAAGGAGCATTGTATGTTTTTGTTTTTAATGCATTTATAAATAAGAACACTAGCTCAGAGAAGTTAGCTGTCTCCATGAAGGCCGCCTACCTGGAGGATGGCAGAGCAAGTTCCTGCAGAACAGACCTCTCTCTTGCTATTACAGTCTCCAGGGCTTATAGAGGGTAAGGCCTCCCAGAGGGCTGAGAGCAGCTCCTTTCTCCAGACACATCGGAGCCCCCTCGATGCTGAGCGCAGGCTACAAATCCGAAGGGGTCTCCTTGACAACAGAAAGGAACTCCTGCCCCGTCTCGTGGCTCACACTCCACGTGCCACCCCTTGAAAGGGACAGTCCTGGGTTGCCTATACTGCTGCGAGCTCACTTGATGGCTGATAAACCCCTCAGGTGTGGAGAGTGGGCACCAGCTGCCAGTCTGGCCACAGGAAGCTGTGACCTTGCCCATCAGTGTCTGCGGGGGACCTCACCAGAGAGTGGGCGTCATGACCACCCATGGGACTGTGCTGGCCCCATGCCTAGCACGCCTGAGCTGGGGGGTCACGGGGGAGCCCAGGCTCCTACCCCCTGAACTCACCTCCAGCTGAAGCACCGCTGTCCTCACCAACCAGGAAAGGGCTCCAAGAAGACATGAGAATCTCTGATGCTGGCTCTGTGGAGCTGGGCTCCGAGAAGACGTGAGAGCCTCTGGTGCCAGTCCTCATGTGACCATACTGGGGGGTCACGGGGGAGCCCAGGCTCCTACCCCCTGAACTCACCTCCAGCTGAAGCACCGCTGTCCTCACCAACCAGGAAAGGGCTCCAAGAAGACATGAGAATCTCTGATGCTGGCTCTGTGGAGCTGGGCTCCGAGAAGACGTGAGAGCCTCTGGTGCCAGTCCTCATGTGACCATAGAGCTTGCAATTCCTAAGTGCCTCCTGTCTCCAGACACTGTGCTGAGACTTCCTTCAGCCCACGTCACTCCATCTCGTACAGATGTTGTTATCTAGGAAACATGAGGCTCCGGCATTATGAAACTTGCCTGATTTCCAGACTCTTGAAAGCCCCTTAAACAGAAAGGAGATCAAACCAGTCAATCCTAAGGGAAATCAACCCTGAATATTCATTGGAAGGGCCAATGCTGAAGCTGAATCTCCAGTACTTTGGCCACCTGATGCGAAGAGTCAACTCATTAGAAAAGATCCTGATGCTGGGGAAGATTGAGGGCAGGAGGAGAAGGGGACGACAAAGGATGAGATGTTTGGATGGCATCACCGACACAATGGACATGAATCTGAGCAAGCTTCAGGAGATGGTGAAGGACAGGGAAACCTGGTGTGCTGCAGTCCATGGGGTCACAAAGAGTCAGACACGACTGAGCGACTGAACAACAAAACTTGGGCTGTCAGGCTTCACAGCCGATGCTCTGAGATTGTTCTGCTGCCCTGTGCCAAGTGCCAGCTACACTGGGACCACAAGCCCACACATCGGCTTCCATGCCAGCCAGGGCCATCCGGTGGACTCCTGCCCTACCTGCCCTCGATGGCCAGCCAAGGCCTTGTCATAGGCTGCAGCCGCAGGCCAAGCTCCAGAGGCTTGGTGCTGTGTCAACACCCCCCACCAAAAACTTTTTCCTTTTTATTTATTTATTTTTTTTTTTTACTTTTTCCTTTTTTATTCTGGGAAATTTCAGACATAAAAGTAGAGAGAATGGTATCATGAACCCAGTATATCCATTTCACGGTTTCAGCAACACAGCAGAGCTTGCCTAGGCAGCTTTAAAGCTGTGTGTCCTCTGTCAGAAGGTAGCGCCCTCCCAACAGCCACCTCCTGAGCACGAGCCCTGGGCCCACGGCTCCCTGCTGTGACCCTCCTCCTGGGCCAGCAGAGCAGGACCTGGGCGCCCCAGGCAGATCCCCAGGGGCCTCCTCGGCCACCACCTGTCTCCTGCACAGGCTCTCAGCGCCATCTTGTGTCCCAGAAGAGTTACTGTTCCACTGCGGCCCAGGCCCCTCCGCATCCCAAAGTCCCTAAGCAGCTGGGCCTGCTGTCCTCTCGCCCTAGTGGGGCTGCTCACTGACCAGCCCCAGTGGGAGGCATCTGACCCCTCGGATACAACAGTGGATGATCCCGGGCCCAGCACTTCCTGTGATTTCCATAGACTGTCGGTCACCCGCCCAACTTGAGGGGTCTGGTGGAGCAGACCAGGCCCATTTCTTTCTGGCCTCTGACTCTTACCACATTCATTTTGGGGGGAGATTTGCTTCTCCGTTGTTTGAGTTCTAATCATAGGATGGCACCTTAAGTAACTTCCTAGCCTAAGTTCCTAATGTGTAACATGAAGAGAATACTTTCCGGCTGTAAGGATTAGAATGTACCTAGTATAACAACCAGCGTATAGAAGTGCTCAGTAATGAGAGTTATTAAAATAATTTGTATCCCTTTAAAATACATGAAAATAAGTTGTGCCTCCCGTCTAACCTAGATTAAAAATTCTGTACCAGGCAGTGCAGGCTACAGGATTCTCTTGGATGCCCTGCTCCCTCTCTTCCACGAAGCTCTGCTTCTTCTCCCTGTATCATGATCTTTTATTGCTCTCCTTCTTTCTTGTAAACTTCTCTATCTGCTCTAGTCTGCCCTCTGCTTTCTGTTCCCTTCATGAGACAGCCCTGAACCAACCTGTTCACACAGTTCCAAGCACATGCATGCACATACACACACAGCCTCAGCTAGCTGGGGGGCTGGACCCCTCTCCCTGAAGGCTACTGAGGGGCCCCACAGTCCTTTGTGACACTGCAGACCCGAGTGTCAGTGCTGCTGAAGCTCCCAGGCTTCCCGCAGTGCCCGTGGACACAGCCCAGCCCTGCTCCTGCACCCTGACCAAGGGGGTGGGGGCACTGGCCACCATCTGGCCAGGTGGGGTGGGCACAGGGCTGCCCAGAACAGACTCAGGTCAACCTCAGTTCTGACACTTACTAGCCGTGTGACCTCTGGCAAATCACTGAACCTCTCTAGGCTTCAGCTTTCCCGTCTGTAAATAGGGATGTCACTGGTCTCTCCTGTAGCATAACTGTGAAGATTAGATGATAGATGTTAGCCTCTGCTGCTGCTGCTGCTGGCGGATACTGCTGTCCTGACCACTCCATGCTGTCTCAATTTAATAACACCTTTTCCTGTCCCACTGGGACTTCCCAGATCGCACTAGTGATAAAGAACCCGCCTGCCAATGCAGGAGACTTGGATTCAATCCCTGGGTTGGGAAGATCCCCTGGAGAATGAAATGGCAACCCACTCCAGTATTCTTGCCTGGGAAATCCCATGAACAGAGAAGCCGGGCGGGCAGCAGTCCATAGGGTCCCAAAGTCGGACACAACTGAGCTCACGCACACACACACATTCATATCCCATCAGTTTTTTTTGTTTGTTTTTTTTTTCCATTTATTTTTATTAGTTGGAGGCTAATTACTTTACATCATTGCAGTGGTTTTTGTCATACATTGAAATGAATTAGCCATGGACCCATCAGTTTTAAGAAGTTTTAAGGAATATTCAAACCATATTCCAAACTAATTCACTAGCATGACCTCTGTGGAGGATTCATTTGGTCAAGAAGTCCAAACAGTTTTTAACCTGAAGCATAACCTCAGAGAGGAGCAGACGAAGCACAGACAGCCCCAGTAGAGCAGATAACTCAGAATCTAGGAATCACCCCCATTTACCGTGCAACCCGCTCCGCACACCCCCAGGTGACAGTCGCACCCAAGTCCCTGAGCCTGCTCTCTGCCGGCTCCCCACTGCTGCTCCTAACCCTTATTCCACAGTGAAGACACATGAACAGCAATTGTCCTCCCCTCACCTCCGCCCAGCCTCTGTGCCTTCCGGGACAGGCTGAGAGACCCCCGAGCTCTGAGTTCTGCTCCAGCTGCTCCTCCACTCCTGGGCCAGGCCCCCCTCCTCCAAGATCTGAAAGTCCTACAGGCTTTCTCGAAGCTCCTTCTCTTCTCCATCCCCCAACTTCTCGCTCACTCCCTACATTTTTTCAAGACTGGCCCATGGATCACTGCCTTCCCCCACACCCACGTGCTGCCTCATCCAGGGGAATGTTATGACCCCTCTGACCTGTCCAGCACCCAAGCCTCAAGTAGTTTGACCTCCTCAACCCTTGGTTCCCCAGATTTCATCATCACCCATAACTGCTCTACCTCTCAAAGCTTAAATTCAGGTGCTTAAATTCACTGATCACATTCCACTGTCCATCCCTCTTTCCACGTTTGTCTATTCATCCCAGTGACCCCGGATGGCCTCCCAAGCTTGGGTAACCCCTCCCAGGCTTCCCCCCAGCAGTGCACCCTCTCCTGCTCTCTCTCCTTCCCCAGACCCCCTGACCCCCACTGGCTGCAGTACCCCATCACACAGCTCTTCACTCTTAACCCTTCTGCAAGCCCCAGCCTGGGAATGGCGCCCGGCCCGCCATCTTCACACAGGATCAGCCTTGGCACCTGGGACCCACAGGGGTTGGTGCCACCTCAGATCCATCTCTCCCATTTCAACAGGGTCCTCTGTGCTTCTCCTGGCCCCCACCATCCCTCCCCTCCACCCCCACCACCGTCTCCCACCCGCCTCTCTCCAAGACTCTGTTCCCAGCTCTTCAGAGCTGCCTTTCCTCCTGCCTTTATACTTCATAAAGAAAATCGAGGCCATCACCTCTCCCTACCTCAGTCCCTGTAAGTGCGTCTGGGTGTCCACCCCCCATTCCCCTCCCTCCCGCCCTCACCTGGAGCTCTCCGTCTCCTCCCCTCTCAGCTTGGACACATCAGCTCCCAGTCATCTTTTAAGGCCCACCGTCAACACTGAACTTCCCGTCTAGAAGCCATCCCGTGTCTCACTTTTCCTTTACAGCTCGGCTTCTTAGAATAGTAACTCCTGCCCACTACCTCCAGTTTCTCACCTCCTGTTCACTACTAAACCCACTGAAGTCTGGCTTCTCTTCTTATAGCTCCACTGTATCTGCTCACCAAGGTCTCCAGTTTCGCCCTAATCACTCAGCACTAGGACATCCTGGATCCTTGTCGGACTTTGCTTTTTGCAGCACTGACTCGGGGACCCTCCCTCCCCACTCATCCCTTCCTCACCCATCTCCTGGTTGGCCTCCCGTCTCTCTGCATCCTTCAAGGCTGCTTCTTCCTGCTTATCCTCTGCATGTGGGTGTTTTCCAAGATTCCTTCTGTGCCCTTCTCTGTCTGTCAGTTCATCAAGGTCACTGACTTTACTACAAGTTCTATTCTAGTGGTTCCAGTTTCCTCTCTAGCCTAGACCATTCTGCTGAGCTTCACACCTGTCTTTCTAACTGCCTACAGACCATCTCGTTGTGGATGACCCAGAGAGCCCTGAGACTCCACGTTCCCAATATGACCCCTCATCTTCTCCCCTTAATCTGCTCCTCCCGCGGTACCCAGTCCAGTGACACCAGCACCCACTTCACCTCCCACGCCTGAGGCCAGGGAGCCATCCCCAGCTCCATTTGCTCTGGTCCCTCACTGAGTCGGTCCCCAAGCCCCATCAGTTCTGCCCCTCACAGTGCAACCATCCATGTGCTTTTCTCCAACCCCGTCACCACTACCTTCGTCTACATCTCTATCCTCCTTCCCTCCTCACTGAGCATCTTCCTTCCAGTGCTTCCCCCTCCCTCCGTCCTCCAAGCCGCTGCCAGGGCAGCCTTTCAGAAACAGAGCTCATCACCTCATTCCCTTTATTGAATCTTTGTGTCTCTTCCCCCTGCTTTCAAGGTACAGTCCAAACTTGCAGCCTCCCCTGGCTACCCATCTCTCCAGCTTTAGGTCCAACATCTCCACTCCCCCTGCTCCGCATGCACGCACCCACAGGACACACTCTAACCATGCCTTTTCCTACCTGTGTCTCTGCACACACTACTCCTGCTTTCTGGAGTGACCTCCTACCGTCCTCTATCTCACTGCCAGTTTTTTTCTGGTTAATCCTTCTTTGTCCTTCAAGATTCAGTTCAAACATCATGTCCCCTGGTTGCCTCCCCCATGCCCTCACCAGGCAGGGCTGAGTACTCCCCTTCAGAGCCTCCCCCAGGGGGGTGCCTGTGTGCCCTCCCTTATCACGCCCCGTTGGGGTCACCTCTCTATATACTCTTCGGTGTCCCTACTGAACCACGAGTCCTGCAGGAACAGACAGGGACCTCCCGTTACAGCAGAGCAGGTCCTTGATGAGTGTGTATTGGGTTTCAGAACGGTTCTAGTCCAGGTGTTTTGAGATGTTCTCAGAAGAGCAGGGAGCTGCCACGATCCACGCAGAAGTAACCGGGAGTGAATGGTGTGCCGTGGCGCAGGGGTGTTGGGGGGCCTGGGCGGGTCTCCCCGCTGGGCCCGCCCCTCAGTCTGACGTCTCTCCCTCCCTCAGCCTACATGAAGCGGCGGCACAGCTCGGTCAGCGACAGCCAGCCCTGCGAGCCCCCATCCGTTGGCATCGACTACAGCCAGGGCGCCAGCCCCCAGCCCCAGCACCAGCTGAAGAAACCCCGAGTAGTGCTGGCCCCCGAAGAGAAAGAAGCTCTGAAACGAGCATATCAGCAAAAGCCATACCCGTCACCAAAAACCATCGAAGAGCTCGCCACCAAGCTCAACTTGAAAACCAGCACCGTCATCAACTGGTTCCACAACTACAGGTACGGCCCTGCCCTCGCCTGCCAGCCGCAGCTCTGCTAGAGGCACGTCCGGCCCCCAGCGCGCGGCCAGTCCCCGCGCGGAGGGCATGCTGGGGCCTGAGACCTGGTGTCCAGTCAGCTAGCTGGCCTTTTCTTCTTACTGGCATCTTAAACTCCCAGAGATGGAGAGTCATGCAGGTAGAGACAGTCCATGTCTTCTGTAACCAGAAAAAGTCTCCTCTTAGTGCTGTCGTTTAAACAGTGTATGGGGCTTCCCGGGCAGTCCAGTGCTTAAGACTCTGTGCTTTCAGCAGAGAGTGCAGGTTCAATCCCTCCTTGGGGAACTAAGATCCACATGTTATGCAGCATGACCAAAAAAAAATAGTTGAAAAAAAAGGGGAGAGTGTAGTCATTCTTGATTCCACAAGAGTGAGCGTGTATCTAGTGATTTTCTTATGCTTTCTCAAGGTCTTTTATAGTGTTGTTTTCCAAATTAGTTTGATTCATTTTGTAATTAAATAAATGAAGTAGTGTAAGACCGTTTCTTTGGGGAAAGTCATGCGTTCTTGAAGATTTATTGAGCATCTACTAGGTCCACAGACACTGAGCTATGTGTTTTAACTAGCACTGTATCAACTTGATCCTCACAACTATATAAGATACAGTCTTGTCCACATTTTATAGATGAGAATATAAAGCTCAGAGGGGTTAAATAACTTACCTGAGCAGGAAAGGGCCTGGCGCTCTCCTGTAGAAAAAGGAACAGGGTAAAATGTTTGGATTAGATAGTGGAAATCCACTGACAGGTAATGAATTGTTGATCACCCGTATAACCAAGACTCCCTGCTGCTAGAGACAGAATTCTCAGTGGTCTAATGGAGAATCAGGCCCACTGAATGCCGTGTACATGGCCATCTCAATTGCTGGTTCCTGTCAGAACATCATTTTTTCTCAGGCTCAGCAGAACTGGGGTAGGTGCTCCTGGCGATACCAAGGTGACAGGTGCTTGTGAAGAGCCAGTGTAGGTAAGCAGCAAGCCACAGAAGCTCACAGGCAGCCAGGGGCTGGAGGGAGGAGTTGCATCTCAAAGTGGGCCCTGCCTCATCAGATAGATTCTGCTGGAGTTTCTGACAGGGCCCAGCAAAACTTCCACGTTCTGAACAAATTGGAAAATGCTTAAATATTAGATAGGAGCCAAAATAATACCTTTATCACCAACAAAGGCTATGTTAACAATAGCTTAGTGTGAGAGCCAAATAGACCTGCTGCTGCTGCTGCTGCTGCTTAGTCGAGTCAGTCGTGTCTGACTCTGCGACCCCATGGACTATACCCTGCCAGGCGCCTCTGTCCATGGGATTCACCAGGCAAGAGTACTGGAGTGGGTTGCCATGCTGTCCTCCAGGGGATCTTCCCAACCCAGGGATTGAACCCAGGTCTCTTGCATTGCAGTCAGATTCTTTACCACTAAGCCACCAGGGAAGCCCAATAGACCTGCTACCTGACTCTTAAAACCAAGCCAGTTTTTCCATCAAGGCAGCATTGGCCCCAGGCAGGCCTCACCATATGTGGGCTGGCTCCCAAGAAGACAAAGAAAGTACATGAGCTGAGCACAACCAGCTTACTCACTCCTAAATTTACCGATCAGGTAAAAACAGAGGCAGAGCGAGGTCAGCAGTTGCAGGAGTGGAGCTCCCTCTACATGAAAGGAAACTTCAAGAGCAGTAAACAAGTACAGTGAAAGCGAGTGAATGGAAACGTGGGCAGAGGTTCCCCAGAGCCTCTCCTTGCCAGGTGTTATGCAATCCTGTTTTCACTTTCCAGACACAGAGGTGCATTTGAATGTGCACTTTCGAGTCTTCTGCAGGTCACATCCAGTTTAATGAAGTATGCTAACCCTGGACAGGAGGGCATGAAGCTGTAGATTGCTAAAAATCTGGGTAAAGGAGCTGTCGGTCACACAAAACATCTCCAAAGCCGTTTTGCCCCGCCCTGCTGGGAGTCACCTTTTTCCCAGATCACCCTGCAGGCCTCAGTTGAGAGGCAGTCACTGCCTCCTGGCCAGGGCACACGCTCTCCAGGTTTCCCAGCTGGCCTCCTGACCCCCATGGAAATGCCATCACATGATGGTCAGCTGGTCATTGTGGAGATGCCTGATTTGAGCATTTAAACAAATCCAACTATAAAGAGAAAAGGCAGAGATGGGAAGAAGAGCCATGGAACCTCAAAGCTTAGTCATGAGCCCAAATCCAGACCTAGAGTAGATGGATGCTCAATAAATGCTGTCAAATACACTCCACAACAAAGCAAGCTGGTAAGTCAAGTGGTAGAACCAAGGGCAGAGATCAGTCTCACCTGCAGAGATCTGGATGAATATCCTAGAAGTGATATGATGTGTGCAGGGTATTGAAAGAACTGAATTAGAGAAGAATTTTATAAGTCACAGAATAGGTTGAATAAGAAGTGGCATCAGGTCACTAGGAATGGCATAAAGCCCAAAGAACTGAAGTCCCTCCCCTAAGGCCACCCAAAAGAAAAGTGCAGAGATTCCGGCTGAGCCAGCCCTCTCTCCACGGCTTTAGCTCTTCCCTTAAATGCTCAGGACAGACCAGCTCACCTGGTAGGTCCCATAGCACTTCACATAAGGAGGAGCACACAGCAGCACTCAGCACACATCCCTGAATGTGTTTAATTCCTAAACAAGAAAGCAGTTTCTTTTTTTTTTTAATTTTATTTATTGCTTATTTATAGTTTTGGGATGGGCTGGGTCTTCGTTGTAGTGCACAGGCTCTTTGTTGCTGTCTGTGAGCTTTCTCTAGTTGTGATGTGTGGTCTCTAGAGCGCCTGGGCTTCAGTAGTTGTGGTGTAGGGGTTGGTTGCCCTGAAGCATATGAGATCTTAGTTCCTGGACCAGGGATCAAACCTGTGTCCCCTGCTTTGGCAGGCAGATTCTTAACCACTGGAGCACCAGGGAAATCCCTGTTGTTGTTTTTTTCAAGATATTTTTATTACGTTGTACTAAGAATTTTTTTAATAAAGATTAGAAATATAGGAAAACCTAAAACCATCTAGCAAAAATAGCTATATTTGACTATGTGAAAGTAGAAAATGAAAGGATTCAAGATATCACAAAATCCCAAAACAAACACAAAAGACTAGGAAAAAGTAAGTATTTTACAATACATGTAATAGAGTGTTCCTTTGTCCATTTTTATAGGAATTGATTTTTAAAATCCTCCTAAACAATTAGTAAAGAATATGAATAGGCATTTCATAGGAAAAGAGATGGATGCTGCTAATATATGAAAAAATGATCAATTAGATTAAATAGTTTAGAAATCTAAAATAAAAACAACATTCCATTTTTTGTTACCACTTGGCAAAACTTTGAAAGTGTCCCAGTATCTGCTGAAGATGCAGAAAAGGGGCAGAAATACAGTATTTGTAGGGGAGTGGATTGTTACTGATAATTTAGACAGTGATTTTGCAGTTTCTATCAAAATTAAATAAGCACAGATCTTTTGGCCCAGACATCTCACTTTTGAGATTTTTATCCTAGAGAAATAATACACCAATTTTTAAGGACTTGTGGTCAAGAGGGCAGTTGCTTAGGTTCTTTCTGCAGGAGTTAAACAGAAGTTGATTTCATTTTTTCTGCACCACTCGAACCCTTAGGGAGTAAATGCTTGGGGTTGATTTTTACCCCCATCAAAAAATAAACAAAACTTTACTTCCTCTTCTCCTTTTACCCTAAGGCCATCAGAAGTATTCTAAGGTGACCATTTACCCAGGAACACCAGAACAAACATAGCCCAGGACACCTGGTCTCCTGAAGAACAGGTCCACCCAGAAGAAACTCTTCCAAGCCCTAAAAGCCACAGCATCCTATCAGCCTTGCATAACTTGTCTGAAAACCAGATTTGCTTCTGGGACCTGGTCTTTCTAGACCAGAAGATAATCTTCCTCAGGGACACAGAGACTAATCTAGGCTGGGAAGGATGATGACTCTTATCTGCTAAGCATGTAACATGTGCCAGGCCCTGAGCCAAGAGCTTTATAGATGTTATTTCATACTTCCTCCCACCTACAGTCGAATTCAGCACTGCCAGCCCCGTTTTATATGTCATACGTGTAAATGTTTAAATGGCATACGTGTCAGTCTAGCCAGTGAGGGTCACAGCCTCGATCCCAGGTCTTAGACATGAAGTTATCCCTCCCCATCCCTCAGCCCTTCTGTCTCAGCCTTGGCACTTATGACAAGGACTTTGTCATTCAAAAGGCAGCTGGGTGGTTAAAATAGAAAAATAGTTCCTTTTTTTTTTGGTCTACTTTGTGTCCTGTATTTAATATTTCATCATGGTGGTACAGTGGTTAAGACCCCGTCCTGCCACTGCAAGGGGGCGTGGGTTCTGTCTCTGATTGGGAAACTGAGATCCCACATGCCATGTGGCGTAACCCAAAAAAAAAAAGAAAATGACAACAAAAAAACCCCAACATTTAATCATAACATCTCTGCAAGGAAGACACTATTCTCCATACTTTTCTGATAAGAAAACTGAAGCACAAAAAGCTTAAGGAACTTGTCCAAGTTTTGTAGCTAGTAATTGACAATCCAGATTTCAAACCCAGTGTGAACCGATTTCAAATCCAGTTTGCTTGGTTCCAAAAAGCCTGTACTCCATTCTGGGCCAGGCTGCCCCTGGGACTTCCAGTTAGTCCATGATGGACCTGTGGCCTGGATCAGACCAAACCCTTAACTGCCCATCTAGCCTCCCCTACTCCCCCATCAGGGTGGAATGGGATTGAGTGTTCACCCTAGTGAGTGTTTTTTAGCTGTTAAGGGGCTTGAAATCCAGCAAAGTGTAGGTTCATCCTCCTAGCAAAGTGCCCATGGGAATTACCATTTCACAGGCTCCCAAAGTAGCCCCCAGGAAGGAGGAAAGTCTTCCGTTACCTCCTGGGAACTTCTGGGAGGGCTTCAGGACCTACCCCTGCAGCTTTGGTTCAGGGATCATCTTTAGGACAAGGGTCAAAGTTCATCCTATGTATGGAGCAAAAAACTGTAGCAGAATACCATGACCTGACTTGTGATATACTGGACTAAACTATAGCTGGATTCTCCCTGGCTCCAACCTCCCTACATCCAGCACAGGACCTGGCATACCATGGGTTCTCAAAAAATGTCACCTTTATTGAGTTATACACACTGCAGAAAATATCTTCATGCACGCTTGGGCTTTCTGCAGGCCCAGTTTCTGCAAGACACTGGACTTGGTGCTAATTTCCCTGAAGATGTTATCCGCTAACAACTGGCTCATGATCAGAGGTTTTTAGGAAGAAACACCTAGAGAGACTTTGATTGAACCCAGTACTGTGAGCATGTTAGAAAGAGAAATTCTGACACAAAAGATTTAACAAAAGCCCTTTCATGACATTACAGGGCTCCAAAACAGGGAAGGCCTGGGCCCTTCTGTAGCTGTTTCCTTGGACCTGACAAAGTCGTGAAGCACACTTTCCATTGCAGGCTGAACTCAGCTTTAATTAAAACATGGTGGATGTGTTGGAGCACATATTTGGCCTCCCTCCTGATTGGTCAAAAGTGACCCTTCCCTGGTCGTCTTTTAGAGGAGGGAATTAATTGAAATTTAATCACACAAATTGATAGAATCCCACCTCAGCCTTGACCAGAGACTCTGACGTGTGGCTCAGAGCTGGACACTGAAGATTTTCACTTTGGGCACTGTCTAATAACTGGTTCTCTCTCAGGAGGTCCAGAGGGGGAGGCAGTGGTTACCATTCATACTTTATCTCCTTGTATGAATCCATTTGGCCTTATGGCTGTACACCAAGCACCAGTGCTAGGTGTGGGTGTGCAAAGAGTGGGACCTTGCCGTGCCATTATTGTTGGTGGTCCATCCTAGTGAAGAGGGGACTGGCATTCCAACCAAAGGACAGCTTACTCAGAGGCCCCGAGCCTGGGAAACTTTCAGCTGGGAGGGTTGTTGGCTCCTGGCTGGGGACGATGGGGTGGCTGTAAAGAGGGGCTCCACTCCGGGCCGCAGAAGCCTGAGCGGCTGTCAGGCCGGTGGGAGTGAGATGTCGGGCAGTGGGCGGAGATGGCAGGACGCCTGGGCCGCGAGGGAAGGGACACGGGGCACCCGTGCACAGAGGTCCCCTGACGGCGCCCCCACTGCTTGTGTCTCGTAGGTCTCGGATCCGCAGAGAACTGTTCATTGAGGAGATTCAGGCCGGGAGCCAGGGCCAGGCCGGGGCCAGCGATTCGCCGTCGGCCCGGAGCGGCCGGGCCGCGCCCAGCTCGGAGGGCGACAGCTGCGACGGCGTGGAGGCCGCCGAGGGCCCGGGCGCCGCGGACGTCGAAGAGTCGGGCGGCCCCGCGGCCGCCGCCAAGTCTCAGGGAGGGCCGGCCGAGGCGGCTGCGGCCCCGGAGGAGCGGGAGGAGGCGCCGCGGCCAGCGGAGAAGGCAGAGCCGCCGCCCTTGGGGACGCCGGTCCCAGACGCCGCCGCCGCCGCCGACGAGGGCCGGCCCCGGGCGCCGCCGCCGCCACCCGAGGGTCCCGCGGACGGCCCGGGGCCCGTGCCAAACCCCGCCGCCGCCGCCGCGCCCGCGGCCGGGGAGGACGCCGCTACCTCAGCCGCCCCGCCGGGCGAGGGCCCCTGCCGGGCCCGGGACGGCGCCGACAGGAGTTCCGCTTTGCCAAGCACCAGCGCGCCCGCGGCAGCCCGCAGGCCCAGCTCGCTGCAGAGCCTCTTCGGCCTCCCGGAGGCGGCGGGCGCCAGGGACTCGCGAGACAACCCCTTGAGGAAGAAGAAGGCCGCGAACTTGAACAGCATAATCCACCGCCTGGAGAAGGCCGCCAGCCGCGAGGAACCCATCGAATGGGAGTTCTGAGAGGGCGCCGCCCGCCCGCCCGTCGCGCCGAGTCTGGCCGGGCCGGGCCAAGCCTGACCGGGCCGGGCCGAGTCTGGCCGAGCTGGGCCAAGTCGAACCGAGTCTGGCTGAGCTGGGTCGGGCCGGGCCGGGCAGAGGGGCGGGCGCCGACTCCGCGGCCGGGACCGTGTTGCGCACTTAACCGCCCTGCGGGCCACAGGGCAAAATCGCCATAGGCCAAGGTGCATATAGAAAACAAAAGGAGCATTAAGCCCAATCTATGTTGTGTTTTCAAGGAAGAAAACGGAAATGTGTAGTCGAGCTTTTTTGTACCCTGAAGTGTTTTTTTTATTGCCCTAAGTGATTTCCACAGGTTCTGGAATAACTCTTACAGCTTTGCCTTGCGCCCTCCTCTTTTCGTGTGGGCTTTAAAAAAAAAAAAAAATCAAACCCACATATTAAAAGGGGGCTTTTTATCTGCCATCTAATGGCTTCAGAGCGATAATACACTATTATCTTCTTAAACCAGGAAAAAAGGGGAGGGGGGGATTTTTCAGAAAAAAAAATTTAAAAAAGTTTTTGTAGCTGTTCAGTTGCCACTAAGAGATTGCACAGTCAAACCGACTCTAAACACACTAGTTTGGATTCCTAAATATTTTCAAGTAAAGAATCTTCTCCTTTGAAACTTTGAATTAAAGTAAAACACATTTACTCCACATATTTTTTAACAAGAAAAGTCACATCAGGAAAATATCTGATTTTGTGGTAGCTGACGTAGTGTTTTCTTGTACGTGAATAGAATCCTGACATGTAGTGCACATTGATCCATAGCTTTAACTGACTCTGGGCTTTTGCTGACCAGGGTTTGTTTAATACACTCCATTCTAGGCCAAATCAGGACAAAAAGAAAAGATCCGAATCTAGGTATTTTATAATCTGCTTTTTAACCTCTAACCGCAGAGCACGCTGATCAGACCTCATATCTTGGAGGTGTAGGAGACAAGTTAGAACTGTAGCATGTACCCGTTCATTTTGTTTAATTTATGGTGTCTTACGTCTGTGTTAGTGCGTCTTGCACATGTGCGAGCGTTGAAAGAGAGGAGGAACGTGTAGGCCGCGAAGGTCGCCGCAGGCAGATCTGGGGCCCCTGGGGGCCCCTTGCCCCTCGTAGGCAGCAGTCTTTCCTTGACACAGAAGGCACCTCACCTCACACCACTCTCCCGGGCGCCTGATGGACTGAGCCCCACCAGGGGACGCCACTCCCTGGGCCTGGGCAGGGCTCGTGCGTGCGCCCAAGCACACGCATAACTCTCTCTCTGTCTCTCTATCTGTCCCTTTCTTCCCACCACAAGCACTGATGACTGTTGACGTCGTGGGAAGCCTCCTTCCTTCCCTGCAGAAGAGAGAACGTGGCAGTCTGGGCTCGGCTCCTACCCCCCGTAGTCTCACACCAAAATGTTGATGCTCTTCACTTCCAGACCAGATCATTGGCCCTCCATTCATTTTGCCTCTTGGAACGTTCTTTTTATGCACAGTTTAGGGCAGTCTAAGTACAAATCAAAAGTCTAACTTGTCTCTGATTCCTCCTGTCGTCTATGTGTATATGCGTGAGAACAGAGGTGTATGAAAGTGTGCGTGTGTGCGTGTGTGCAATTTTATACGTCTGTGTATTTTCCTAAGTACCTGTGCACACATAGAGTGCATTACTGCCACCTTTTTTCAATAAGCTGTTTTATCAGTTATGGCTTCTACAAGTTTGCTAATTTAGACTCCTTTATTGCCATATCTTTAAACTAACAATAGATGATTTCGGTATATATATATATTTTTTTTTGCTTATTTATAGGTGCTGTATTTTATTATCTGATTGTTAGGAAGGGATGAAAGGGGCAAATATTCTTTAGAGGGATAGACTGCCGGCAGTATTGGGTATAATTTACAAGATGTAGTTGTCATACTGTATATTACTGATTGAAACCTTTTTGACCGTATTGTGTATCATTGAAACCTTTGTCTTAGGTCAACATCTTTGGATGACATTTTAATGGTGCATTCATTATTTCTTAAGTTTAATTAATATTACCTTTTTTTGATTTGGGGGGGTGGGAGGGAGTTCTAATTTTAAAGGTATGCTCCCGCTATTACACCTCAGTGTGCTTGTATTAATTAACTTGTAGGACTTTGACTGTAAGATGTGAAACCACATTTCTTGCATGACGTTTTAGAAATTATGTATTTCATTTACAGTCTTTTAACCTGCAACTGCAGCACTTAGTTCAAGTTTTTCACAAATTTAAGAGTCACTACACTAAAGACAATGCCTTTTCATGAAGAAGAAGTTTGCAGAAGGCTCTAGGAGGCTGGGAGGCAGGCCGTTTGTCTTTTGATGGTTTCATATCATTCTGAATTTGAAATCTGGTTCAGTGAGCAGAGAATTCAACACGGAGGAGCTTAAGGGGAAAATGGATTCCCATCTGGCTGAATCCAGGTGTGTTGAGAAGAGGGCGTTTGCATCCGTGACCCTCAGGACAGTGAGTAGCAGAGCCCCTGACAGTACTGTGGTGTCCTCTCCACAGAAACCTCAAGGAGGAATTTTGTCATCACATGATGAGTCTCCAAATACCCGACTTTCAGTAGAAGAAAAGCAGGGCGTTAACAGGGAACGCCAGGGTAGTGTTTTCGCTTTAAAGGCATGACTGTTATTTACTAAGGTGTTAAATCGAGGAAACTGATAAAAGTATAAATCTGTCCATCCTCGTGGCCAAATAGTAACGTCTAAAACAGCCACTTTGGCTCTTCCAGGCAATTTAGTCATTTTTGTTGGTTTTGTTTCTTTTTTTAAAACTAGGTTATTGTTGATTTCCATTGTGTCTTTTTTTGCCAGACTTACATCTGGGTGCTCGATACAATCAGTTGGTTAAATTTTGCTTGCAGTTCCATGTTTGTATTCTTTCTCTATTTATTTTTTTTTTTTTAACTGCGATCCTAATCCTAAAATCTCTTGTGTTTAAGCTGTCACTGTAATACTTTTAAGAGCTGCCACTAAATAACAGAAACCTGGGGTGGGGTGCCCCCCTCCTCTTTGTGCCCCTCAGTCTGAGTCCAAGGGTTGATCTTTCATCTTGATAAGCAATATTCAAGTGCCTTGAACAGCATCCCCTCCGTGGGCTTTACCTTCTGCTGGCTGGCGTTCCAAGCAGTAGCTCCCACAGGCAGCCGACCTCTTCCTCTTTCCGCTCCATCAGTTTAAAAAGCTGATTTGTACCTCTCCCCTGGGGAAAACGGTTCTGTAGAAAACACTAACACTTAATTACAAGCTCCATTATACCATTTTAAATAGCTTCTTTTTGTTAATTGGAGGCAGTGTTCATAACTTAAGGTTTTTGCCATTACTTAGCTGGCTAAGTGGAGGCTCCGCATACAATCAGTGTTCAAGTTCAGCCTCTTGACCCTTGGTTCCTGCCCACATTCTCTTGCGGTGTCTGAGGTAGAAGGGGCGTGGCTTCACTCCCGCCTCCTGGCTTCCCAAACAAGGCCTCTTCTCTTGAACTTCTGGATGAGTCTTGTGATTTCTGTCTAGCAGGTTACCCTTCTTTAGGAAGGATTACCACAGCCATCTAACTCCAACTCGGTTTTCCCCGGAGCTTACCTGCCGGAAGAACATCGCGGACACAAGGTGGCTTGTGGTCAGCAGACTGGGGAGGCATCTCCAGGATCTGCCAGGATCCTAACTTGTACGACCACTCTCAAGTCATGGCCACTATGTCTGGACCAGTGACCAAGGCAGAAAGATAAGAGTTCACGGCTTCTCTGGGACAGTTTCCCTGTACTTCCAAAGCACAAATGCCTCCCTGCTCATCTATCTTCCTCCTGTGGGCATCTTTGTGTCTCCCTACTTAAAAGCCAGATGTGCTGGTTGGTGGTCCAGACCCAGAGTGCAACAGAGCTTTGGGTGAAGTGTTCCTGTCTGCTCCCTCTGGCTGTGAGAGATCCTCCCCAGCTGCCCTCAGCCCCAGGAGGAAGGAGACACCTGAATGCCTCCATACCCAGGGCTGCCACAGCCCCGTAAGCAGACCAAGCAGAGGGCAGGTTGTACGCAAGCTCTGGCATACGCTACCAACCCTAAGATCACCCAGCAGTCGTGCCCTGAGAGGTTGGGACAAGAGTTGCCGGACAGCTCTGTCCACAGGCAGGTGCCTTCCCGCCTAAAGTTGGCTTGGATTTCTTTGTTCTCCCTGAACTCGTGTCCTATCATGCACAGGCGATCGTTGAACTCTGTTGACTTTCTATGCAATGTTCTTCATTCCTCCGATTGTAGGAAAACAAACCTCCCTGAAAACAATAGAGGAGCCAGCAGGAGCAATACTCCCGTCCTTCTGGGAGGAGCACACAGTGAAACGGTGTTGGTGATTTCCTAGATCTTGAGGGGGACAACAGCCTTTGCCTTAAATGCACCACGGCAGACGCCTCTCCACAGGCCTATAGAAACCAGAGTCTGCCCTGAGCTATCCCCGGCCGCTCCCCTCTGAGGCCAGTACGCCAGCTGCTCAGGGGAGACAGAGCCCGGCGAGGTCAGGCCTCCCCGACAGGCTGCAGGTGGGATCCCTCCCTGGATGTTTCCCCCCCTCCCCATGTCATTACACTCATCTGTCCCCTTCTACCTCACTAACCACGCTCCCACTGGACCTGCCCCTGCACCCCTCAGAACCGCGAGGCAAGTGGGATCCGGAAAGAGAAAACATAGAAGCGTGGCGTCCATGAGTGTAGCTCGGCCTGGTGGGCAGGCGGCTTCCCTCTTGTAAGCACAAGCCGGACAGACAGCTGTGCTCTGCAAGGCGCAGGGATCCTCCTCTTGGCCTCCACCTGCTCCTGAAGTGTTCACAGCTATTTCCTCTGCAGGCAGGGGCGGCCTCGGGCCCCACAGGGCCTTGTCTCTGGCCCGCCTACACACTCTGCCCATTCCCGCTCAGCTGTTAAGATCGGTCACAGCCGCTTCCCTTGCCCCGGCTGCCCCTCCATGG